GTTTTGGATTTGGTTGTTTTGAGACAGGGTTTCTTTGTATAGCCTTGGCTGGCCTGGGCTCACTTTGTTGACCAAGTTGGACTGGAACTCACAGAGATCCACCTGCCTCTGCCTTCCAGAATGCTGGGATTACTAGTGTGCACCACTGAGCCTGGCTCTGACAGCTATTTTGACAGGTATTTTCATTAGCTGCTAGTAATCGTTTGCAATAATAAATTCTCTGTATAGATTGTTTAGAGAATTAGCATGCCGTTCCCTTACAGCTACTGGTGTTCTGCTGCAGATGATACAATAGTCATAGCTCTGGAAGAAGGGACCAGACACCCCAAAGGTGTACCCCAGAGCTTAGTGTTACACACACATAGACACAGACACAGACACAGACACACACACACACACACACACACACACACACACACATACACAGACCATTACTCGAGGCCACTGTCCCAACAGTGAGTTAGTCTGTGAGCACGCTTGCAAAGATGGAAATGCTAGCTGGGTGGGACAGCATACACCTCTTATCCCAGTAAAGGAAGGCAGAGGCAGGTGAATCTCTATAAGTTCAAGGCCAGGCTGATATACTTTCAGCAAATTCCAGGCTAGCCAGGGTTACATGGTGAAACCCTCAAAAATATACCTTGAATACGGGCATTTTAATGAGGTGCCACTAAATTTCTGTCACTATGACCAAAAACCCTGACACAAGCAACTTAAAGAAGTGTTTAGTCTGGCATGGTAGCTCATGCCTTTAGTCCAAGCACTCAGGAGGCAGAGGCAGGTGGATCTCTGTGAGGTTGAGACCAGCCTAGTCTACAGAGAGAGAGTTCCAAGACAGCTAGAGCTATTACACAAAGAAACCCTGTCTCAAAACAATAACAACCAAAGACTATATTTAAAAAGGACATGTCATGACAGGGGAGCAGTGGCACAGAAGCTGGAGCACAAAGCTGACCCTCTCACATCTTGAGCTGGAAGCAGGAGGAGAGAAAATGGAGAACTAGTAATGGTAAGTGGCTTTCAAACTGCAAAGCCTACCTTCAGTGACATACTTTTTCCACCAGGACCACACCTTCTAAACCTACACAAAAAGTGCCTGTAACTGGGGACCAAGTGTTCAAACCCCTGACCCTATGGGAGATATTCTCATTCAAACCACCATAGTAGTCAACAATCGTCCTCTACCAGGGTTCTGGTTCTAAGACACCGATTTAGAATCTTTCCTGTAAGTGCTTGGTGACTCCCCCAAATGAAATCGATAATGACAGATAACTAGGATAGATAGATAGATAGATAGATAGATAGATAGATAGATAGATAGATAGA